AAAATAGACTTTAATTAACAAAGCCTAATCCTATAATGTTTTGATAAAATCTTAAACTTTCAAAATGACATATGCTAATTACAATTAATATTTCAAAACAAAGTGCTTTGGGCAAACTGTGACACTTCAAGTATTAATGCCACAGCATAGGTAAAAATCAATTAAACCAAAATTAATCAAAAATGTTACAAAATACAAACTTAAAATTTTCTTTCTAAAAAATAAAACATATTTTTTATCCAAAATAACACTAACACAAATATAAGCCAAATAACACACCATGACATATTTTTAAATACATTTATGTTACCAACTACATTGTATCTTTGTTTTTCTACTATGATCTGCAAAGAGATGGGTTCTTGTATGTAATTATTTGGCATGAAATGAAATATGTTTTTTCTGTATATGGAAATTAGGAATAATCCACCCTCTCTTTATAAAAGACCTGGATCTGCTTAAAAGTTCTTGCTTTTCTCAGAATTTTCTATTGTTACATCAGGAAAAAAGGCTACCAATAATCATACTTGACGATCATTGAGGTCACACATAAAGAACCCATCTCTTTGCAGATCATAGTAGAAAAACAAAGATACAATGTAGTTGGTAACATAAATGTATTTAAAAATATGTCATGGTGTGTTATTTGGCTTATATTTGTGTTAGTGTTATTTTGGATAAAAAATATGTTTTATTTTTTAGAAAGAAAATTTTAAGTTTGTATTTTGTAACATTTTTGATTAATTTTGGTTTAATTGATTTTTACCTATGCTGTGGCATTAATACTTGAAGTGTCACAGTTTGCCCAAAGCACTTTGTTTTGAAATATTAATTGTAATTAGCATATGTCATTTTGAAAGTTTAAGATTTTATCAAAACATTATAGGATTAGGCTTTGTTAATTAAAGTCTATTTTGCTAATGAGAGTAATATTAACATGTTGAGACATATTTATTTATTTTTGGATTTAGTATAAATAGCGTTGTGAAATTTTTAGAAAACAGTCAGTGTTTCGGAAGCGTAACCTCTCACTACTCACGTCATGATACTGGACCTATAAGACTGTCTACCAGTCTACCAGTTGACTGTGTAGTGTTGAGACAAAATTTATCTCTGACTCATAATTTAACTTTAGAAAATACTTTTGGGAATCTTTTATTTTTGAGACTTTTACATTTTGATTTTGAGATTAAGTTCATTTTATGATTTAGTAGTTTTGGCATTTATTTTACATTTTACATTGTAAGGAGAAATAGTTTTACTTTGGAGTTGATATTTAAATTTGATACTTTGTACTTTAATTATTATTATTATTTGGCATTGTTTACTAATCGATTGTTATCATCATTCGTCTAAATTGTTATCGTTTATTAAATTATGAAAACCTTCCTTGCGTTTTAGCTATGCCTATCAGAACATTAAGTCTAGCGATAGACTGACCCCCTGTCCCTTGGTTCGAGCACATACGAGTTAGCTCCCCCTTATCTAACAGTGCTCTGTGGGACCTTGGTGACAGATATCAAGAGAAACATTCCCATACAGAATCTCTGTCAATAAGCTATTTTTCCACTCTTAACAGTGAAATCTTAAATATGTAAATTGATCGGCAAGCCTCACATCTTGAAAAATAAAATGTCTGTAGGAAAGAACTATTGTTTCACAATTGATGCTGTGTTAGAATTTATAATATCACTCTTTTTTCTCCATATGATCAGCATAAAAAGTGACAAGTTCTTCAGTCTAAATAACTTTGTTAAATCTCATTTCTGATGGAACATTTTCAGTGCACCAGATTAACAACTTTCTATGTTAGATACTTATTTAAATATAAAAATTCAAGTCTAATTTTAGAGTGAAATTTTAATATATTTAAACAAACTGTTCTAAACAACCAACATGTACAAACACTGAGTTTATTTTCATATCCTTTCTAAGAATATTGATACAAAGAAAGTAAAACAAAGACTTGTATCATTCCATCTACCAAAAGGGTGTTTGAGAATATACAAATAAGTCCCAAGTTTCAGAGAAAAGTCAGTTATCTATAATTTTCTTCTTTGGAAGTTTTCAAAAACCTGTTTTAGGGTACTTGAAAAAATGCCATATTCAAACATTCCATGACTATTTTAATGTTACAAGAGTAGAGGAACATAAAATATTGAATGGTTATTCAAGAAAGTGTCAAAATATAACTACAATCATTAATTTTACTCGAATTTACTGTTGTGAACTTGCAGTTTCCTACGACGCGTGTACGGAGTTATCTCCCGTTGATCTCCGCTTCGCCACGAATAAGCTGACACAATTGCGTATCCGGGGAATTTATGATCTATAATTAATATATAAGATGCAGAAAATGGTTTTACTTCATATTTTTTACCCCTCCATACGTTACCAAACCCATTTAAGAAATGATTTGGGATTTTCCGTAGACCTACGCAAATTTTCCAAAAAAAATTTCAACTTCCATCGTTGTTTTAGAATACTTTTATAACACCTTTGATAAATAAGTATACATAATAATGAAGCTTATTCACTCAAGATTTGGACCCTACAAGTTTTATTTATGTACGAGTTACAATTAGACGATACGAGGTAAAAAACCAAGAGGTGTACACGTTCACAAGAAAACGGTAAACTCTGACCTTTTATCACGTGACCAATGTCTTGAACTTAGACGCCATTAAAGCGTTTGCCGTTCAACTGTTTACGGTAATGATGTTTATGATCATACTTTTCTCAGACTATTGATGACTTCCTTTCATTAGTTTTCAGTAAGGGAACACCCATTTGATTTCGAAATCAGAGAGGGAATGAGGATTTTGAAAATGATTACATTGCCTGGTATGAACTGAAATAATTAACTTCGCACAAGACAGGATGAGAATGAACACTCTTCAACATGAAATGCAGGAATGTCGAGGATGTGTACAAAAGTGAAAATAATTTTTTTCGCCGCCAGCCCCATCCCTTTCTTCAGAATATAAAATGTTCTACCCTAACGGCGAGTACTATTATACCGGTACTTTGTGTTTTTTGTCTTCATGTTAGTTGTTTTTGTGCTATATGCCGATTTGATAAGTCAAGCCATTTCAAACTGTTTTTCAGCAGATTTTTTTATGCTGTGTTGTTATACCATTGTCCAGGTCAGGGGAGGGTTGAAGGATCACACACATGTTTAACACCTCCAAATTCTGTATATGTCCGTCCAAAATCAGGAGCCTGCAATTAAGTGGTTGTCGTTGGTTGCTGTCTGTTGTATATGTTTTTTTTTTGTTTTTTTTTTTTGTTGCACGAACGGTGGTATATTTTAGTTGTCGTTCCCACCGAGAGGGATTTAGGTCGAAAACATCATACAAGACTTTTGATGTGCCATATTCCGGGTGTGAAACAAAACCGACCGATTTGATTCGTCTACTACAATTATAACAAAATATTTATTCAGTAAAAAGTTTCAAGTTTTGAAAAACAGACACAAAACAGATTTCTCCGAACAAAGTGACAATCTACAAAGTTAGCTGGCTATTCACGACAAATAAATCAACCACACAAAAATCAAAAAAGACAAATGTTTAGAGTGACCTCTGTCCTTGTTAATGACCTAATAGTGTAAACAACAAAATGATTAATGGCACGAGATAATCCGTGTTTAACCAATACCAAAATGTTGACTTAATTTGTGTTTTTAATTGCTATATAATTTCTTCAAAACGATTTTTTTCACGCATGCAATTTGGCACACACATGCACTGTGTCTTATTGTTTAAATCAGAGTAAAAAATATTGTGATGATACACGTAATAATTTTGCTTTCGATAAAAATAGGGTAAATTTTGGGTAAAATTTTACTCTTACTAAAATGCTGAAACACTTATATCAAAATCACTTAAATACTTTCCGATTTCGTTATATGATGTATTTAATACATAAACTATATTATAGGTACTGATTTAACTACCAACAAAGAATGCAATGATTTTATTTTTCATGTTAAAGATTCCCCGTACAACACGGTATCTGGTGGTACCCTGTAAAAACACGAAATTTAGAAAATCGTGACCACGGGAACTTACGACGACAATCATGATTGTAAAATATAATGATTTTCCTATAATGTGCAAAAAAAAATCAGCCGTGTGTTATCCGTTAACTTAAACTCGTTATCTAAAGGACTTTTTGGACATTGGGCACCCTACTATTAATTGTTCCGAGAGTATCAAGTAGACACATATCTATTCAATACGCCAAGCTCTGTCTTTTTCCGAGTTTAATAAATTTGTGATTGAATTCATTCAGCATAAAGTATAAAAGATCTAACATAATTACCAAATACAGCATAAATTATCACAAATCTGCTTTGAATACCAAATTAATTTTATGAAAAGAAAAATCCTCATTAAGATATGAATAATATATGACAAAGCTATCCACCGACGTGGTTCATAATTTGGAATAATGACACGGGAATATGTATCGGGGATCAGTAAGTTTTTTTTTTTAAATCTCAACGGTCGCTTTTAATTCCAAACAAAGGACTTACCACAAAACAAACAAACCTACATTTGACACTGTAAAGAGAAATCCTTGTGCAAGCTCTAAAAGACATAACATACGGTTCAATAACAAACTATTTCTCCATCAGTTAAAATGCTATCCACAACTCCTATTAACGACATTTATCCAAAGTATTTTTGGAAAAAATTTAATCCCTCCGTTTTACTAAAAGACGATCGAAATGACCTTTTCACAGTCACTCATTTTTTTTTCTGTCTAGATGATATGGCTTCAGAGATCAAAGACATACTCACCAACTGTTCAGATTATTTGTTTTTTTTTTATATTCAAAATTGGTATTTGAAGGGTTCTCTTTGTTTCCGGTTAAATTGAGGTACATAGACATATGAGTGAAGAAATTTCTTATAATGTTCCATAGAATTTTCTATATTACGATTTTTGCAATCGTGCGTTCCATATGTATATCTTTATTATCTCCCTTTTAATTTTGTTTTGAGATGCACGTCACGTAACTGTGAAATTAAGCTCGGTTACCTTTACTGGTTTAACAGAAAGTAAGTTTTTATATTTGTTGCATTATTTCTCTATTCGCTAAATCGCAAATATTAATTATATAGTGTATTTTAAACTATAAAATTGAAATCTTCAAAAGTTCTTTGTTAGATTGGAAAATGTATGGAAAGCCTTTTTAACATTAATAAATGATAAGAATTTCCCCTAGTTTTTACCATACACTCAATGTACAATGAACATTTCAAATGCATGAGAACTAAAATGATTATGATGTTCGCACAAGCATTTCATTCAAGGGGTCTCTGAAAAAAATAACCGGCTACAGGTATATTGTTAAAGGTATATTTGTTCAATGCCTGTGGATGTTCGGCATGTATTGTTTTTCTTGCATGTTTCAATTGTATCTGTGGCCAAGTTAATATACATGTACTTCCTGTCATTTCGAAGACCAATAGATAATTCTAATATGACGACCTATTGTCATTAACCAGTATAATCACCATATATCTACCTTTAGCGTAAACGCAGTAATACACAAAAACGGCTGTTCTGCGTTACGACCAACTTATTTATACTGCCAGATATTCTCAATTTTCGGCATCAAAACCCCCAGTTTACGTAGGCTAAGATTCAGTTACAATATATTTATGTCTTTTCTACAGCAAAATAAACAAATCAGTCCATTGCAATTTATTTTTTCATGGTAAAATTTCATAAAACGAAAATTCCGCGAAATGATGTTATTGTCTTTGCATGGCAACGAAACAAGGAGACGTCACAAGTATCTTTCCGTAAACAAAAAATCAAATGTAAATACTGTGCGTTTAAAAGCTTCTTGTACGCCTCAGAACGAATAAAATTACATTGGAAGAAAATATATAAGTGAAAAATGCAATTAAAAAAAAATAATCATTGAATTATGTAATATTACTAATATTATCAAAATTGGGTAAAACGGAACAGCAACAACAGTATCGTATTTATAGGTCTTTCACGGTTCACAAAATTACCGAATTGGTCCTATTAGAATCGAGATAACGCTCATGGTAAAATAATCGAATATAAATGCCCAACCCATGGTTAAATGAAAACAAATCTACGGCTGCCATGAATTATTTCTTAACCATTTAACTTCAAAAGAGGAGGGTATGGTTTTTAAACGCCCGTTAACGGGACGTGTTATGGTATACCTTTGTCCGTCTGTCCGGGGGGGGGGGGGGGGGGGGGGGGGATTTCCAGTTTTCAAACAATGCTATCAATCATATTATTTTTTTGGCAAAATTTAACACCATCAGGTATGGAATGTGTGGGGAAAGTCTGGATTCCGAATATAATTTTTGTCACCTACTTGTACACAATATTTTTTTCACTAGATGGTGCAATGATCGATATACGTGTACTTCTTCGTAACTGTCCGTAAATAACGCTCCAGTCATGCAGACTTTTACCTTTTTTTGGTTTTTATTTAGTCCAATTCTATGTAGCAAGATAATTAAAGTTCACACTGTTGATAGTCCATTCTTTGACTAATATGTAGTTGGATTTTAATCACTTCGTAATACTTTAGTTTCATCATTTTTAGTTCATCCGGACGAATCATGGTTTAAGAGTTAACAAGAATTTAAGGAGTAAAGCATTAGTAATTGTAAAATCATCACGATTATGGAAATATAGCAGGCACCACTACATTCTCTTTTATTCTAACCTGACATGATAGTTAAGAGATGTTTCGCAGTGGTCATGGTTCACAGGAGAGGACAGGAACGGATACATTTTCAGAAACGGAAAATAAAGAGATTTTAACAGTTACCTGCCATGAACAACCAACAGACAATTTAGAGATGTTCCACGGCGGACAGGACAAGACAGTAACAAATATGGTTTCTGATATCGACATCTCCCCTGAATAACCAACAGACAATTTAGAGATGATCCACGGTGGACAGGACAAGGCAGAAACAAATATGGTTTCTGATACTGAAAAGAAAGATAGACTAACCGTCATCCCTCTTGATCAGACCAGTACAGATCGTCTGATGGACATGGCATGTCAGACTAGTACAGACCAACTAATGGACACGGCATATCAGACTAGGGAGAAGGTTGATGTTGGTAATGAATGTGGTAAAGAGTACCAGGGTAATGATTGCGATAAAGAATGTCATGGTAATGTTTGCGCTAATGAGTGCAAAACTAGTGCAGGTGGTAAACTGTGCCAAGGAAAGGCATACTGTAACTTATGTAATAAAGGATGTTGTAAGTCTCGCATTTCAAAACATAAAGGCAATAAACCTTTTAAATGTGGAGTGTGTGAAGTAGATTTCAGTAGGAAGGAACACCTAGAAATGCACATGAGAACACATACAGGTGCTAAACCATACAAATGTGATATGTGTGAAAATGCATATAGTCGAGGTCATCACTTACGGATTCATATGAGAACACATACAGGTTGCACTTTGTAAATACAGCTGTTTCTCAAACCACGCCTCTTTTGGGGAGATATTTAATATTCATAGGTATGTTAATTTGTTAACGTACTGGTTCCCATTGATGATCTCTGTGTTTCATCTCATAGAGACATCACTTGGGAATGTAACCAGTATAGATAAACATGGTAGCGGCTAAATTTTAATTCTTAGGAGGTACAAAAATGGAGGTAAGGGTAGTATAGAATTTTAGTATAAGTTTAAACTCTTAGAAGTTCAGGGCATATAAATGTTGAAAATATGCCGCACAGCCCTATATTTTGACCTTTGAATAAAATAGTAGTGCATATAAACTTTCCGTTCTGGGATATTATTTTTCACGAAACTTCATAGTAAAAGTGTCACAGTTTTAGCCGCAAAGGGAGTTCCTATGGGAAATTGCATTGTCTGTATTTACAGAATTGCAACCTACAGGCGCTAAACCATTCAAATGTGATCTATGCGATAAGGCGTTTAGTCAGCGTTCTCACTTAAAGAGACACATGAAAACACATTCAAGTGAAAAACCGAGTAAAATATGTAAATGTGATGTATGTGAAAGGGAATTTAGTCAGCGTTCTCACTTAAAGAGACACATGAGAACACACACTGGCGATAAACCTTATCAATGTGAGTTATGTGATAAAGCTTTCTGTAGAAGGGAACACTTACAAATACACACGAGAATACACACTGGTGATAAACCGTTTGCATGTGATATATGTGGTAGAGGTTTTACTTGTGAAAACGACAAACGAAGGCATTTTAAACATGATGCACATGATGGAGGACCTTATAAATGTGATATTTGTGATAAAGATTTTGTTCGGAAACTAAACTTAAAAGAACACATGAGAACACATACGGGTGAAAAAGCATATATGTGTGAGATATGTGGTCAAACATTTAGCATGTCAATTTCTTATGCTACACACGTGGCAAAACATAATGCTGAGAAGGCCAAATTACTTTAGTTCAAAACAGATAAGGAATTTCTATAGCCATGATAGCTGACATTCCATCCTACATGTATATATATATTTAAAGGAGGAACCTCTACACAACTTACCTTTTTGTATGGACTTACCTTAATAAACGTTTGAGCTATTTTTATACGACCGCAAAAGTATATTGGTATGACGTTGGCGTCGTCGTCGTCGTCCGAAGACACATTGTTTTTCGCTCTCTAACTTTAGTTTAAGTAAATTGATCTCTTTGAAATTTTACCATAAGGTTCAATACCACAAAAGGAAGGCTGGGATTGATTTTGGGGGTTATGGTACCAACAGTTAAGGAATAAGGGGCCAAAAAGGGGCCAAAAATAAGCATTTTTGTAACTTCCAGACATAACTTGTGTGTTAGTGTATGGATCTCTGACATTGTACCACAAGGTTCCATATCACACAGGGAATGCTGGGATTGATTTTGGGGGTAATTGCCTCAAAATTTTAGGAATTAGGGGCCAAAAAAACAAGCATTTTTCTAGTTTCATGACAATAACTTGTGTGTAAGTGTATGTATCTTTCTTAAATTCTACTACAAGGTTCCATATCACAAAGGGAAAGCTGGAATTTAGTTTGGGGGTAATTGCCCAAAACATTTAGGAATAAGGGGCCAAAAAGGGGCCAAAAATAAGCATTTTTCTAAGTTTCCAGACAATAACTTGTGTTCAAGTGTATGGATCTCTCTGAAATTGTACTGCAAGCTATCATACCACAAAGGGAAGGCTGGGATGGATTTTGGGGGCAATTGCTTCAAAATTGTAGGAATTAGGGGCCAAAAAAGGGGCAAAAAACAAGCATTTTTCTAGTTTCAGGACAATAACTTGTGTGTTAGTGTATGTATCTTTATGAAATTGTACTACAAGGTTCCATATCACAAAGGGTAAGCTGAGTTTGAGTTTGGGGGTAATTGCCCTAAATGTTTAGGAATTTTGGACCAAAAAGGGGCCAAAAAAACAAGCATTTTTCTAAGTTTCCAGACAATAACTTGTGTTCAAGAATATGGATCTCTCTGAAATTGTACTGCAGATACCATACCACAAAGGGAAGGCTGGGATTAAGTTTGGGGGTGAAGAATCATAAGGGGGTAAAAAAATTTGGGGGGGGGGGATTTTTTTTTCCTTTTTTTTTTGGGTTATTTCTGATTTATATATAAAAGCAAATAATGATATGTTTTTTTTTTGGTTATTTCTGATTAATATATAAAAGCAAATAATGACATGGTTTGAATAGGTAAATTAAAAAATTTTAAGTTCTTAGACCACATTCATTCTGTGTCAGAAACCTGTGCTGTGTCAAATATTTAATCACAATCCAAATTCAGTGCTGTATCGAGCTTGAATGTTGTGTCCATACTTGCCCCAACTGTTCAGGGTTCGACCTCTGCGGTCGTATCAAGCTGCGCCCAGCGGAGCATTTTATTAAACTGAGTTGTACTATTGCTGTATGTTGTTTTTTGGGTAAAGATTGCATGAAATGCAATCAAAACCTTATGGTACTGACTTGATATCTAAATCTTCCAAGGCTTATCCCTACCTCCCAGTACCTTTTTGACACACAAAATATAGTGCAGCGATCATAACATTCTATACATCCTATTAATGAATATTTCCAGAAATTTATCAGTGTAATATACATGATATATGCTCAGATATTCCATGATATTCAAGACAAACAATGATGTTACACTTGCCAAGACAATTGCATAACCTTTGCCAGGTGCAGGAATCTAATATCTGTTCTAAAAATTAAAATGATGTCATTATTAAGTCATCTTTAAAAATTGGAGTTATCTTCTTTTGTCCAGAATTGTTGTTAAATCAACTTAAACCAATGCTTTATAAAATGAAATATTTAATTTTACTTCCTAATAATAAATTAAAGTAATCCTTCAGTACTTACAAGCACTTTGATTCTGCATTAGCTAGAGGTATAGGGGGAGGATTGGCTTCTCACAAAACATGTTTAACCCTGGCCTTTGTTAATCTTTGGTGCTTTTCAATCTAAGTTCATTTTTTTATGTTTTGGAGTTTAGTATGACGTCCGTTATCACTGAACTAGTACACAATTTTGTGAAGCCCATCTCTGGGTGCGGGATTTTCTCACTGTGTTGAAGATCCACTGGTGACCTACGGCTGTTTTCTACTCTTTGGTCGGGTTGTTGTCTCTTTGACCATGTTGACACATTCATGACTCCCCATTTCCATTCGAATCCCCAATTTCAAGATTACAAAAAAAAATCAAAATGAAAATAAAACTATGCTTCCATTATATTTACAACGATGCGTGAACAAAACGGATACAATAGGTAAAATTGTCAAAATAGGGGTACAGCACCGTGTCACAACCTCAATCAGAACAAAAGCAAACAAATATTTAACATATAAACAAAAAGCATATATCAAATTTAACAACCACGTTCATTGCTTACTTATTTTTGTATTTTATATCAACCCATAAAGGATTGAACTAGAATCTATTTGAAGTCCTGTGACTGAATGGCTAGTTTCACATCAACTCTGGTACACGTAGAATTGCGTGTTTGACGTCAGAATGTAAACGTCACACAGGTAGAGATATAAAATAAGTTTTGTCGTTCAAAGTATTTTCAAAATTATAATAGAACAATAACATAATCGCATAATAATAGCACGAATAGAACAATAACATTATTCAATATAACACGTTATAAATCAGTACGCAGAATTTATACACCAAGACCATCATGTATTATTTGTGAAGTTGATACGGAATATTTATCAACAAGGTCTTGGTACCTTCCGATGAACTTTTTTTTAGAAAAAGGACGAGACGTTCTTTGATATACCCCTAGTTCATCAACTTTCTGCTCAGACACTGGTGACGTTTTAAAAAGTCTGAGTAGGAGCTGCAAGCTCTTGAATATTGAATAAGTTGGGGAATACTCTCAGAATGCTTGTTCGAAAATGAAAGTCCGAGTACACCAGACCTTATAATTCTTCTTCTATGTACACTAAATTATATAGTTGACCTACGTATTATAGCACCTGAGAAACATTAACCAATGAACCGTGAAAATGAGCCCAGTAATATAAGCGCTGCCAGACACACATGTTGTCACCCTAAAATCATTCCAGATACCGAATACAAACTGACAAAACAACAAAAATTTAATATTGAACAATAAACCATATATGAGGACAAGGTCATATGAAACCTGCCAGACATATATGTACACCTTACAAACGTTACACAAAACCTAGCAGACCGAGTCGACATGTATGCTTAAATTACAATCATTTCATATACTGGATATAGCTAACATATTGCTTACAGCATTCACGATACAAACTTTACCACCAAAACTTAACCTTGGTCATTGTACCATGAAATGGTGTCGTGGTCAGGTGAACAGACATGCAGACTTAGTACCAAATATAGTTATTCTATGGATCATAATAAGTGAGAAATTCGAATGAGGTCAAGGACATATGACAGACAGAAACTTCTTGACAAAGGGCATTTATATGAAGGATCTAGGTCTTCTAACTTCTGAAATATTAAGCTTTTGAATAATTAGTTAATGCAGCCAACGCTGCCACAGCTGCTGGATCACTATCCCTATGTCAAGCTTTCTGTGACAGAAGTTGCTGGCTTGACAAAAATCTTAAAATCAATAGATAAAGGTCTGGATTTGGGTCCTTCATTTCTGTATTCTTTTATTTTTCAAGTCATTTAACTCTTTTCTTTGTATTGTTTAATTATTCTCTAAACTTTATATCATTTGCTCTATATTCTCTATTTTTTACAAGTTAATACACCATTATTCTCCATTCTTTATTTTGTGGGGCGACTTTTATCTTATCTTAATTTTATGGACCCATTTTTCGGTATATTTGGTCCGTTTTCCTCTGTTCTGTGACATAAAAAGGCAGAAAAACATTAATACAACTTTATTTATTAATCCCATACTCAATGCTATTTAACCTAATGCCGTAACTAAAAGATATTAAAGTTATGACGTGTCAGTCATATGACAACCGCCTACTAAAATTCCAAATAATGCAGAAAAACACTCATAGTATTTTATATATTAATCTGATACTCAAAGTTATTTAGCCTAATAAGACTATCAATCAAAACAGATCTATCTTCACAATCCATAATATCAAATGGTTTAGAATAATAGATTGTCCCCCTTTGATCTAGAAGTATGTCCGTATCACTCTCAAGCTTCTGTAGATGATCACATGATATTTCTAACAATGTGAGGATAACCTGTAATGAAAAATAAGAAAGTAAGTCGTGATGAAAATATTAGTATTACAAAAATGTATATTTTCTATTTCCAATAAAACAATATTCTGTTCACCAATCAAGCCTGCTTACAGGAATATTTAAAAGCTGAATTATATTGTTCCTGCTTTAGGTTGGCCATTCTTGTACCCAAGGCATGTGAACAATCAATTTTAAGAAGCTAATTATGACAGCAGAGATCAAATGCTGGACTGTTGGGGGCAAATATGGACACTACATTCAAGCCTTATACAGTTCTGAATTTGGATTGTGATAAAATGTTTGACACATCATAGGTTTCGGTCAGGAAACTAGAGGCTCTCAAGAGCCTGTGTCGCTCACCTGTATTTACTGATGCTTTGGAAATCATGTAAAATAAGGTTAAAATCATAATTAATAGTATTAGATATTAGATATTATAATGATATCTAAGATAATAACAAAAAACTGCAAAATTTTTGTAAAATTACTAACTCAGGGGCAGCAACCCAACAACAGGTTGTCGGATTCGTCTGAAAATTTCAGGGCAGATAAATCTAAATCTGATGAACAGTTTTGCCACCTGTCAGATTTGCTCTAAATGCTTTAGTTTCAGAGATATAAACCAAAAACTGCATTTTACCCCTATGTTCTATTTTTAACCAAGTCGGCCATGATGGTTGGAAGGCAGGGTCATCGGACAAATTTTTTAAACTATATACCCTAATAATGATTATGACCAAGTATGGTTAAATTTGTCTCAGTAGTTTCAGAGAATAAAATTTTTGTAAAAGATTACAAAAATTTACAAAAAATTGTTAAAAAATTGACTATTAAGGGCAATAACTCCTAAAGGGGTCGACTGACAATTTTGGTCATGCAACTTATTTGTAGATCTTACTTTGCTGAACATTATTGCTGTTTACAGTTTATCTCTATCTATAATAATATTCAAGATAATAACCAAAAACTGCAAAATTTCCTTAAAATTACCAATTCAGGGGCAGCAACCCAACAACAGGTTGTCAGATTTGTCTGAAAATTTCAGGGCAGATAGATCTTGACCTGATAATCAGTTTTACCCTTGTCAGATTTACTCTAAATGCTTTGGTTTCAGAGATATAAGCCAAAATCTACATTTTACCCCTATGTTCCATTTTTAGCCATGGCAGCCATCTTGGTTGGTTGGCGGGGTCATCGGACACATTTTGTAAACTAGATACCCTAATGATGATTGTGGCTAAGTTTGGTTAAATTTGGCCCAGTGGTTTCAGAGGAGAAGATTTTTGTAAAAAGCTAACGACGACGGACGACGACGACAACGACGACGACGACGACGGACGACGGACGCCAAGTGATGAGAAAAGCTCACTTGGCCCTTCGGGCCAGGTGAGCTAAAAATGTGGTCAAAGAACTGAAAAAATTTGAAATTGGATTTTACCTATCATTGTTCAATATCCAAAATCTAAATTCACAATTAGATTCTGCATATATATATATACAAGTACATCAAAAAATTAATTCAATTATTTATCAATCGACAATTATATCCAGGTACACCAAGAATTTATTGCTATCAATGTGCAGTCTATCTCTTTAATTTGGATTATAATTACATATTTGACATAGCATAGGTTTCTGACACAGAATGAATGGTCTAAAAAAATAAAAATTGAAATTGGACATACATTTTTGTATACCTTTTATGGTCCAATATCCAAAATATAATTACAAGATTATTATCAGCATAACAATTTTTGATGAAATCAAGCAAAGTTCAATTTTGGACCATTTAGACTTCAACAAAGTCCAATGTGGACCAATTGGATAACAGGACAACAATTCAAAATCTAAACACACAGCTAGATTCAGCATATCAAAGTACATCATCAATTTATTTTTTGGTGAAATCAAACAAAGTTAAAATTTTGGACCAACTTGAAAACTGGGCCCAAAATCAAAAATCTTAGTACAGTACATGTGTCATTTTAATTTCATCTTCGTTCAGAAGGTAAGTAAAATATAATACATGTAAAGATGAAAACAATATTTTTTTAAAAGTGTGAGATTGTATTAAAGTATTCAGTTGTGTTCCGCATTGTTGGGTGTAATGGTGTTTGGAGGTGAAAAGACCTACTGAAGAATGTGCTCTGCCAGACAAAATTTTCAAAACTACAATACCTACATTATTTCTGAAAACAATTTAAACAGTTTAACTAATTACCTCTGTTTTGTTCACAATCATTCCAGGAAACGATAATGTCGTCATTTCTGTCAGATTAACAAAAGTATGAAGGTCAAGTAAAAGTTCTCCAGCATGCTGACCAAGCACTCTTCTACTAAGAAATTCTTCGATCCTTGGTCTCCTTGATGATCCTGAATCTGAACCAGCACTAGTAGCAGAATTAAATGAATCACAGCTTGTGCTTTCTAACCGGTTACATAAATAATCCATCCCTCTTACTTCAGAGTCTTTCTTCATCTATAAGTATATAATATGTGTAAATAAAAGCATTCATTTAAAAATAATTAGTGTAACTTGCCTAATCTGACACCTGAGTATTCCAACATCCTGCTTTAACCGACACATTTTAATGGTCCCAAAATATGACCTCAATGTGGACCAATTTGATAACGGGGCCCAAATATCAAAAATCTTAACCATTTGTGTTGATCTGGAAAGTAGAGGACCATAGAATAAATGTGTAAAAACTATGGAGTTATTAAATGTATTCAAAGTATTAAATTTTCAAAGAAATTATTCTACTGTTTTTTTGCACAATATTATAAACCAAAATTATTAAATTACGTAAAATGTTTTGTAATGGAAAGAAAAAAAGTATACCAAATTAAATGGCAATAAAAGATACATATTACAAAGTTAAATGTATTAAATGATGCACAAAAAACTATACACCTGACTAGCAGTCACGACAGTTCAAATGAATAACCAACACTATTTTCAGACTAGATAATACATGTAATAATGACCAAATTGGACACATGTAAAAATATAAAAAAAATATGTGCAACTCAATTCACAAACATGACAAACCTCAAAGGAATCTGTAATATGTTTGTCTTTTTCCAAAAACCATTTTATATATGATTTAAAGCCATCTTTTCTTGTATTATTTCAATAATCTCTGGAATATTTAGTTTTCTTGCATTGCTTAAAAAACAGTATTAAAAACTGACAAGACTGTGAAGGGAATTTTATAATTAGTGTTAAATTGTGTGATTATATTATTCTGAAAAGGAAACCTAGATCTCTGTAGTTATAAAGTGCTTTAAAAAATAAATCCCATCAGTAATAAGTATGTCATATTAAAGTGGAAAAATACACATAATATTCTCATGCATTTGTCATGAACAGATTCTAATATACATTTTGTACAATCATGAAAATGTAATAAACTAAATAGACATACTTAAATAACCCTTAAAGCTTCATTAACATTGAATAACACCAAATTATGTCAATTCTTTAGTTCAAAATTTCATAATGAGAACAAGATCAACTTGATAAATTCTTTTACTATTAATAGAATATTTGTAAGAAAAGAACCCAACCTTTATGTGATTTAAAATCTAAGGATAGTTAATATTGGATGCAAAAGTAGAAATATAAATATTCTTAATTTGGCAATGATATACATGATATATATATAATATATATATATATATAAAAGACATTTCAATGATAAAAATTGAATCCCCAAGACTATTAGCAAAAGATAATTATTGGAGTACACTAAAATCCCAATAATTTTGAAATATGAGCTTGACATGGTAGAATATACATAAAAATTAATCAAGACAAAACAAATCACAAGTTCTTGAACTAATAAAAGCGGAGCACATTGCATTTGCACATTTGCACCAATTTATAAAAAAATGCAGTTTTCATTTGCGCCAAAATATACTACTTTCATGGGACTTCTGCAACTTTCACAGATAACACATGTCAGAAAAGTTGAAATATACATTTCCTCTGAATTAAAAGCTCAGATAAGAAATTTTAATATATTTTTCTCCTTGTGATAAAGTATTAAGTTTATACTCAAATAAAACTGAGTCATGGATTTTTAAAATTATGTACTGTAGTGTTTCCATGATTGTTGTAAAAAGATGTATATTATTCAGTTGAAGATGTTCAAACAGACCTTTAACACCTTTTCAAAAAAAAATTGTTTTAAATCTAGATAGGGTGCCTCCCCCCTGACAAATGCCTGAGGTCCCATCTAGATATGCCTCTAATTTCAAGTTGACTGGATTTCAATTAATTTATTCAATAAAAAATTCGTAAGGGTTCCGCGGAACCCAGTGTCTCGCCTACTTTTGCTGTTAATCGCAGGCTCAACAAAAATGAGGAAAAAAATTAATAAAAATATTCCTCTCTTTACTATTTTTTGATTGTAAGTAGCTTCTGTCCAAGTTTGGTAAAAATCCAGGATAGTTTATGAATCTAATAAATGTTTTAAAAACTTAAACTGCAGACTGTATGTAATGTTAACTGGCAGAAAAAACTAAGTCCATTTATAAGTAAAATACGGAAAAAATGGAACAAAATTTTAACAAAATTTCCTTCTAGATACTAGCTTTTAATCATAAACAAGCTTCTGTCCAAGTTTGGTACAAATCCAGGATAGCTTAAGAAAGTTGTAAAAATTTTAAAAACTTTAACCACAGAGTGAATGTAATGTTAACTGGCAGAAAAACTAAGTCCATTTATAAGTAAAATCCGGAAAAAATGGAACAAAATTTTAACAAAATTTCCTTCTAGATACTAGCTTTTAGTCATAAACAAGCTTCTGGCCAAGTTTGGTACAAATCCAGGATAGTTTAAGAAAGTTGTTAAAATTTTATAAACTTTAACCACAGAGAGAATGTAATGTTAACTGGCAGAAAAACTAAGTCCATTTATAAGTAAAATACGGAAAAAATAGCTTTTTTTTTTTTTACAAAATTTACTTCTGGATACTATCTTATGATCATAAAAATGCTTCTTTCCAAGTTTGGTACAAATCCAGGATAGTTTAAGAAAGTTATTAAAATTTCAAAAACTTTAACCACAGATTGAATGTAATGTTTCCTGGCAGAAAAACTAAGTCCATTTATAAGTAAAATACGGAAAAAATGGAATTTTTTTTTACAAAATTTACATTTGAATATTATCTTATGATCATAAACAAGCTTCTGTCCAAGTTTGATAGAAATCCAGGATAGTTTAAGAAAGTTATTAAAATTTCAAAAACTTTAACCACAGAGTGAATATTTGTGGACGCCGCCGACGACAACGACGACGCCGACGGAATGTAGGATCGCTATGTCTCGCTTTTTCGACAAAAGTCGAAGGCTCGACAAAAACTCAATGATGCTATACATATATTTATAGTATCTGCCTGTGTTATTGGTGTTAATGAAAGTTATGTAATTCAGCACAAATGAAATATGGTCATTATTTTTGGCGCAAATGAATTGTTAATTGGGACAAAGCACCAAAAAGGCTTTACCCGTAATCCATTAAATGTAACAAAAATAACAACAAGATTGTAAAAATATCTAAAACAAAACAAGTCTAATAGTATAAAATGTTGTAACAGTATAAAATATGTCATATCCTATATACATATATACAGGTAACATTCATTTTTTGACATTATGAATTCCATTTAAACAATTACTACCATTGGAAACTACATTTCCAACTAACATCAATGTATTACACATGTCATAAATGTAGAAAAAGCTTAAACAGAATAATTCATAGCTCTGTCTTGACCATTTTACATGTTGCAATAACAATAATAAATTGAAGCAAGTCATTGTACAATTGTAAAGTAATGTGGTGTATATAATATTCTTCTGAGAAATAGTTTATTTTGACCTTTTATAACACATTTAATGAGCAGCAATTACCAAGTGACTCATTTTACCTAAGAGTTCAATGACAAGAATATTATTCCATTCTCTATTCTGACAAATGTCTTATCTTACATTTAAATTGAAAAGCTAATTATAATATATTGATCAGTTTCAGCATGTGAAACAAGGTAATCATTACAAAGGCATGTTACTTGCTTCAATTTGTTATTCTTTAGTTAAAAATGGTACCAAAAGAGGGCTTTATGACTCTATATTACCCACCACCTACATAAGTTGTTGAAGGATTTCATTTTCTTCTCAAAATAAATAAACTATTTTCACTAAACAATGCTGCTTTTATTTTAAATTGCATGGTTAAAAAATATTTTTCGATAACAATATTTAAAAATTTGACAAGGCTACAGTATTTGGTATACATTACAGCTAGTAACACCGTGCTGGTAATAGTTCTTTGTGCTAATTTTTGTAATTTGGATAAACCTTTTAGTATATATACTAAATATAGTACGACTGTTTGAGTTGAATGGGTGAACATGAATTTGACAGCTAGTGCCCCTTTTAAAAAGTAATCGTTGTACCCATTGAATGCTTCAAATTTTAAAAAAATCTCTATTTTGATAACAATTTCAGTATGTTGACAATCATGACAATGTGTCTGACACTAACAAAAAAAGTACCTTTCAGTTGGCACACTGACTGTTGAGCTATGTTGACAGGATACGCTTGAACTAAAAAAAATAATGGTTGATACATTATCTTCCTGTTCAATTTAAAAAAATCGTCAATTTTCAAAGTATTTGGAAACATGAAGTTGGTATTTAAAAAATCTGAAAAGTGCTCACACGTTACTACTTATCACTGTTAAGCTGGTGGCCAAGTATGAAGTCATTCCTCGCATTCATATTGGAGAAGTGTTTGACGAAAAATTTTGAAGTTCATTTTACATATTGACAATTTTCAAAGTATCCGCAAACAGGAAGTTGGTATTTGAAAAATCTGAAACCTGCTCAAACGTGAAAACGCATCACTGTTAAGCTGGTGGCCAAGTATGAAGTCATTCCACACATTCAATTTGGAGAAGTGTTTGACAGCAATATTTGTCGAACGAACGAACAAACAAGGTGATTGCAATATAGTCCCCACTCTACAGAGTGCAGATATAATAATAATTTTGGACCCTTAGGAATTTTAATATGGACTAATTTGAAAACCGAGCCCTAAATAAAAAAATCTAAATGAACAGTTAGATTCAGCATATCGTAGAACCCAAATAATTGAGTTTTTGATGAAATCAAACAATGTTTATTTTTTTGTAATTTAAGAATGGAAGCTTTATATTCCCAAGATTCAAATTTCATACTTACAATTCATTGATAAACAGCTGCTTCCTGGGTTTCTTTGTTATTGGTCTGAATAAGAAAAAGTATTTTCATTTTTATTTGCCAATGTATTTATCAATAAAATTGAAATTCAAGGTTGAAAGGTATTAAATTTCCTGTTTAAGTTTTGTTCTTGTAATTTTGGGGCCCTTTCTATCTTGCTGTTTGGTGTGTGCCAGCGCTCTGTGTTAAAGGCCGTACTTTGACCTTTGTTAACTTTAATTACATTGTGACTTGGATGGAGAATTGTCTCAATGGCTCTCATTTCACATCTTCTTATTTACATACAACAAGCTACCTATGCTAAGCTATCTTACAAAAGAATTTATATTCAAATGTACAGAATTTAAAAACATTGACCAGATGGTATTTTTGTTCAATGAAAGTGCCAACCAGATACATGAATTAGGAAAGGAGTTGCCTTTTCCTTAATCTAGTTAAAACATTCTTTATAGCCGTAGTGTAACTTTGTCATTACCTTATTTCTTCTTCATTGTCATCATTCGTGTCTTTACCACTTTCATCTTTATCCGAGTCAGAACTGCTGAAAAAAAAGCAAATATAAAAAGGAACTTTTGAGTCATATATAATATTAATAGTTCTTGAGAAATGAATCTTGCAAATGGTGAAACTATGAAAAATGTAGAGAATATTTTCCAGCCAAATTTTCAATTACTTTATCTATCTTTCATGTCTTCAGGCAATATATACCAGTGCTATGACAAGTCATTTAATAAGGAATGAATATTTTTAATTTTCTATTTGTTATTTTCAAGTTTTCTCTCAATTTTCAGTTGTTTAAATGAAAAGCTTTCAAATTAAGTATATAAAACATATTTTTGATTATTGTTGACAGTGTTTGTACCTCTCTTGCTTTCTCTTTCTCCCTCTCCCCTTTGCGCCTCCTGTACCCCTCCCTCTTTCTCCTCTTCCAACATGTCCAATAGTAGGTCTAATAATAAAAAAAACATTCTTATTTTCATTTGCCAAGGTATTTATCAATAAAATTAAATTTCAAATTGTTAGAAAGATATAAAATTTCCCAGTTGTTGTTTTGCTCTGGTCATTTTGGGGCCGTTTGTGGCCAGCTATTTGGTGTGAGCCCGTGCTCAGTGTTGAAGACTGTACTTTGACGTATAATTGCTAACTGTGAATACATGTACTTGTGTCTTGGAAAGAGAGTTGCCTCATGGGCTCTCATATCACATCTTATTAATATTCATATGTACCAAATTTAAAAACTGACAAAATGGTATTTATGTTCAATGAAAGTGCCAGCCTTTTCCTTAATCTAGTTAAAACATTCTTTACAGCTGTAGTGTAACTTTGTCATTACCTTATTTATGAGGTAAATATAATTAGCTAAAAAAAATTAGAATGAAACATTTGCATTTAGATTTATTGAAATTCTTCTTACCTTTCAAATAACTTTTTTAATTTTTTAATTTTTGCTGGTCCTGGTTTATCTCTGAAACATCATACAAAAAACGATTTAAATAAAATTTAACCAAAAAAACTAAAGGTTCAAGAAATTCTATAATAATTTGAATGATTTCTATTACATGCATAATCAAGACTTAAATGGGAGTCTTTAATGGAAGTTACAACAAGTTTCAACAGAAGGGTGATGAACAACAGCAATAAATACTCGTCAAAGGTACTAGGCTTTTACTTTTTTTACGCCAGACATGCGTTTCGTCTATACAAAACGTATCAGTGACACTTTAATTCAAATAATTGCAAGGTTAAATAAAGTAGAAAGTTGAGCATATTGATGACCCAAATTAGAGCATTTTAGAGTTTAAACAAGAAATATTTCTGTGCTTTATTATTGATGTGTAACAGCAAATTATTTCAATTTCTTACAATAATGTGGACATGCTAGAAATCAATTATTCAAACAAATCAAATTTTACAATCTACAACCTCAAAATAATGTTTATTAAATGAAGGATAACTTTTACTTACACATTAACTTCATCTGGAGCTATCCTGATCGGCAAATTGTCTAGTTGATCCTTTTGTCTTTCAGCAAGGGTCTTGCCACTACCCCTGCTGAAACTGAAAGGGTCCTTCCCTGGTGTTAAAAATTCTATTTTAGTATCTTTCTCCACCTCCGGCATGGATTGTTCCTTTCTATTAGCATACGGGGGATAGTCTGTGAGAACTTCACCATTTATAAACCTCTCCCGGAGCTCCCCATAACCAAAACATCTGTATAGATGTGTTCCCCGTTTCCTTATAATGAATAGAATGTCAACAGGTTCTTAAAGCTGCTCTTTTTCCAACTTCATAGCCAATTTTTTTTATTTCAACATTTTCCTAGATTTGGAACATTTAACGCACTAATCCTGCAAGTAAATTTGTCTTTTTTGTCTGAATATGTCTTAAGCACCCCTGGTTTCTCTTTTCTGTGTCTAATATTCTGGGTCCTGGTTTCTGAAACTGAAATCAAGAGAATAATAAAGAAACGGACATGAAAAAACAATAATCAACATCACTCATAGCTTAAACACTGATAATCAACATCACTCATAGCTTAAACACTGATGATCAACATCACTCATAGCTTAAACACTGATGATCAACATCACTCATAGCTTAAACACTGATGATCAACATCACTCATAGCTTAAACACTGATGATCAACATCACTCATAGCTTAAACACTGATGATCAACATCACTCATAGCTTAAACACTGATGAAAAAAAAACATGTTTAATTAACAGGGTCTGAATATCTGCTGCTATCAGATTTGCCTCTTTTTTTTATAGATAACAAAATGTATATGTGACATCAGAACTACTTTCACCTGCTTCAGGATTGACGAAGACAACCGCACAGACGAAAAACAATATAATTTAACCCTTTTCTATCATAAGCGTAACATAAAAGTGAATTTAGATTATTTGCATTTAGTGTTAACAATCATGCTGCATATTCCATTTAAAGATAGCAGTGTCAATGTGTAAAGCATTACAATTTAAAAATGTTAAATATGAAAGTGATTTTTTTTAGTGTTATTTTTGTTCATCTTTAAAACTTAATAGCTATGAATGTGGGAGTGCAGGAATTCACTTGAATTTTCCTTTCTGTATAAATATATATATTTAGCACTTTAGTCTGTATGAAATCACATGCAAACCATGCACAAAAAAGTAGATCACTGCCCACATTCATGTTTATGGAAAATTTCAGATTAAAATACCTTGCTTGCAAATTAATGCGTAGTTTTCGCTGGATCACCAGCAAAAATATCAACATTACAATAAGGAAAATACACATGCTTGCCAATTGCAGTGAAAAATAGGAATCTTCATTCCACATGCGATCTAAAACAGAATAATGTTTAATGGTTTAGACAGGTTTCACTGTATACACACCTGCACATTTTTTAGTTGAATATGAAAAATTACTTTTGTGGGCCTGAAAATAAAGTCTAAGACAATGTCAGTTGTAGGAATAAAGCATGCAAATATATATAACAATATCACAAAATCATAATTTTTTAGTTGTTCGTCAATTCAAATTAAATTTTAATTGATTTTAAACAGGAAAAAAGCACATTTATTGTCCATATGATGAACAAATGACATGCATGATATGTATGATGCTCAAAACGATTTTGTTAAATTATGGGTAAACGGGTACAATATTACAAATCTAATTCACAGTCAAGCGGCATTCATTTTCAAAATAGGTTAATGAAGAATAAAGATATATAATCATGCATTGCAGCCACACTTTTATGGTTGTATATGATGCCAAAAAACATGAAATATATCATGCATTATTTAAAAAGAAATGAATAACCCAATTCCTGAATTAACAAATAAAGGATGAGACAAAGAAAGAGACTAGTACCTATTTATGACATGTTTGTTCCTGGTTTATTTCATATCCTAATTCAACTGTATTGTCTGTATGAAGAGCAGTTTTTTCTTGCAGAAAATGAATATGTTTGGCCTTCCCCTTTGTTTTCACTTCCTGCTGATACATATTTTTATGATAATCAAATTGGAAAGGGTCTGCAATTTCGTTTAAAAGTTTTTAAATCTCTTCCTGAAGTTCTTTGATGGTCATATTGCTGGTACTTTATAATTTCTCGCTCTCAAAAGGTGTGACTGGAACAGGATGTCGAAATATGTAATACTCGGGTTGTAAGGGTAAACCTAGAAATTCTGTTTTTATAATATGAATTCTTTTCCCCAATGCGGCCTGTGTGAATCCTATCAACCCTTCATCAAGAGCCATACCAGAAATAGAAGTGTGGTCTGTTGGTTTACCTAAGTAATTGGTTTTCCTTAAGAGAACTCTAAAGGCAAGAACAGCATCATCAATACCCAAAGAGTGTGTACCACTTTTTGATGAAGATAATCCTAATACACTGAGTGAGCGGTCTTTGATATTCTCCAGTAGGGTGTTATTTCTACATACAGTCTGCCAAATTTCATCAATGGGAACACCTTTTGGTATCCATGATTTCAGCTGCTTATTCTTTTCTTCAAGAACGAAGTCAAAATCTTCTCCTAGGGAATAATTGCCGCTAGTTGTTATTGATGAGTAATCATCATACAGCTGTCTAACATCTTCTGGCATCATTTTGTATTGAATGGCATCATAGTTCAATAATTTGGTACTTAGGGTGCTGCCTTCCATGAAACAACTCTTTTGTCATGTACATTGAACTCCTCAATAATGATGCATTGTTCCTACGTGTAGCCATTCGAAGATTAATTATTCCTTGGGAGTATTTACCAACTTGATCCATTAAATATGTTAGGTTAGGATACTCCTTAGAACTATAAAATCTAGCATTAAAACCTAGAAAGCCCTTAGCAGAAGGTGTTGATTTCAGCAGTAAGCAATGGCGTACATATGGTAAAACCAGTTCTTGTAGACTTCCAAGATGGAAAATGAGAAGGAGACGCCAACTCTTATGGTGGTCTTTGCATCTCTTTGCAAATAGTTTAGATGCATCTGACTCAAACCCCATCTCTTCACACATTGCTTCAAGAAATGGTACCCAGTTCAACTCAAAGAAAGACCTTATCAGATTCATCTCATAATGTCCAAGACCAATCTTGAGGTATAACCAATCAAACTCAAAGACATATTTTCTCTGCTCATCAGAATGAGACTGATTAGCATGTTTGTTATATTCTTCAAGTGTTAAAAAGGATTTGTTGCAATCAGCAAATACACAAATAACTGCTTCTTGCTTTAACTTCCTAATAATCATATATGGAAAGCCATCACAACAGATAAAAGTCCAATGTCTTTTTCTACCACCATATCGAAGAATGCCATTCTCTGCTCCAATCTTTCGTAAGACTCTAGCAACTGACAAACTGCTATTAGGGTTGCAAAATACAGGATCGGTCAAAAACAACTCATGCTTTCCTTGATGATTTGAATTTACATGGTCAAACTGAGAAAATTCTGAATGTACTTCAGTCGTATCTTTCATGTCTGTCTTTTCTTTATCATGCCCAAAAACCATCTTCTGTATCATTTCTTTCTTTGGTTGAGTTGATTTTTTATCTTTTTGTATTGCTTTAGCTTCTTTGATACCCTCTCTTTCCCCACAGCCAATGCAAACTCGTTTCAGTTTTTCATTTAATGTTTGACAATTTTTGCAAGTTATGTAATTTTCCTTGTTAAATTCCTCTTAACTAAATCGTCGTCTATAGAATCTGTAAAATCTTCACCATTCTCTTTTTGATCCTTTAAAACAATCTGTATGGCATGGTTAACATGGTGATACAACTGTTTATTGTGTTCTGTTTCCATTCTTATGTAGTCTTCAACATCCTGATCAATCATGTCTGAAATGATAGACTTCAATTTGTCATTCTCCTGTGTCTTTTCAATTGTTCCCTCCTCAGTTTGATCAAT